AAGCATGTGAGAGAAAGCTGATGAAGATGAGGGAGGCCTACCTTAACTAGGCAGATGATACTCATGGCGCATAAGGTACAAGGAAGTGCATGTTGAGGACTAACAGGAGCTGCTGAAGCACTTTCGAGTTTTAAATTGGAATCATTGAGGGGGTAGAAGCAGGGTATCAGAGCAATAATAGTGTTATTTCATACTAGGTATTTAAAAGCTAGTATCTTCAGTGACAAAAATCTGAGAACAGAATGGAATTAAAACCACCTATTTGCTTCCCACCTGCAAAGCTTCGGTTTTGATCAGACCTAAAAGCAGGAGAAAAGCGAGCTCAGACAGTCTGAGCAGAGGTCCAAAATAACTTCAGTGGTTCTTCCCTTTATGAATACTCTGTTTTAGAGAGGAAAGTAGTAGGCAATAAACCGATGCAGGACATAACAGAATGGAGACAGAAGGGTAAATTAGCTCCTGTTTCTAACTCATAGCTAGCTATAAAGAAGTGAAAATTTACACAAAGATCAGTTAGAAAGCATTGCACCTGTTTTTACACAATCCATGAGCAAACTGCTACCAGAAATTATCTAAGAATTTAGGATTCGGGAATGTTTCTATGGATAAAGAAAATGTTTACAATTGTACCAACAGTGAGTAAAAAAAAATGTATATATATGTTGTTTTAAAACATTAACCTACCAATGATCTGTTTCAGGGTTAAAGCACAACTTTCTTCACAACCTGATTTTAAAAGCATCTAATACAGGAATTCAGAAATAGCACATTCTTTAGTGCCTTCACGAGGACACAGACTGCTGTTCACAGCAGTCCACGAAAATGCGTTCAGCAGCAGGGAGAAGTAAAGTGGAGAAAAGATAATGCTCAACACTTAGCAACTTAAAGAGGATTCAATTATGGATGAGATGACACTGAATGCAACAAAATGCTAGAATGTAAAACTGAATTAGCTTTTTTTATCCCCTTAAGCATTCTCTACACTGTTAACTACACTGTTAACACTACATTCTACACTGTTAAAAACACATTTTAACAGATAACTTTTAAAGAGTATTTAGGAGATTTTATTTTTTATTTCAGAAAGTTAAAAGGCATAATTTAAATGCCTCTTCAGGTTTCTACCCATTTGATACTAAAGAAAGCGTTTAAAAGGTCACAGCAGTTCGTTTTGAAGGATTTTTCATGTAAGAGCTCTGCTGCCACCACAAGGATACAGAAGATGAGACAATCTAAAACTTCTAAAACTTAAGCACTTGAAAATGTTAAAGCACGTGACATGAATGCATGCAGTAGCATACAGAATTGGCTTGTGCATGTGGTTTTTGAGGTTTTGTGTTACCAATTTGAATGATTTTTATAATGCACTCAGAATGGCTGCATCAGTAACATCTACAAATTTTTGTCACTGACATACAGTACATTCCCATTCTCAAATTAAATATTTTAGCAGTGTCTTAGAGTGCTTTATTGGACAAATGTGGGTACTTACTCCTCCAGAAAAACAGGCTGTCTTCATATTGTTGATGAGTACTGACTGATCAAATACTGACTTTCAAGTCCATCATTGCCCAAGACCAGATGCTATCCTTAGCACTATTGCGCAAATTCACACAATGTTCTGCTTGTGGAGATGAGCAGGTTCTCTACACCATGGCATACTGGAAACAAAGAATTAGTGGGTGCAGGTGGCGTGTTAAGAGATAAAAGCAACCTGGGTCACATCTCATGGCTCTTTTTTGCTACCTGTCACTCACTGTTTCATACAATTCTGTGGTATATGGTTAACATGTACCAACTACAACTATTAATGCACACTGACAAGTAACTCAACTGTGTGGCCATGCTGATGATAAACCAGGGTAATTCCAAATTTTCCATCTCAAAAGCACAGGTAGCCTGGAATTTAAGCAGTTGTGACACTAATCAAGCTTCAAAACACATATGAAGGCATGCATGAAGCTTCACAGGTGACAGTCAGCCAAAGGTCTGAAAGAACACCTGATAGAGCAGCCGTCAGGAACTGTGGCTCTGACCAAGACCCTCCTTTCCCGTGTTGATTAGTCCTTTCAAAGAGTGCACTTGGAATGGATGAAGAATATCTTCAACAAAGAACAGACTCACTCCAGGTTCTAGTTACCATGTAAGTACAATACGTATCCCAAGCAAAAACACCATTTGGGCAATAGTGCTTGCAGCTTATCAACATCTCCAATGGCTATTTCTGCTCTTTTTTTTTTTTTTTTTAAAAAAGTTCATTTTGTACTAGAGGCACACTGTAACAACGTTGTTTCTACAGAGGCACAACTTGGAAGTTAGGACCACCACATGGTACTTATTTTTTGTGATGACACTTCAAATCACATGAAGTGACAACAACGAGAAGTTAGAGAACACTTACTGAAACTGCACATTTATTTAAAATGGAGACTCTGAAGACAAAAAGCAAGGAATGAAAACTTTGCAATTTGGGGTGGGTTTTTTTTAAAGCTATAAAATGCGAGCTTGTAATTGTGGTGCTTCAATGCCCACGGCGAAAAAACAAAATCCAAGGGGAATGCTAGATTTTATTTTATTTTTTTCTTTTTAAAGTTAAGCTATCTCCTTTTCCCTCACTCAGTCTTTCATTTCAACACCCATACACAAAGTTCCTGGGTTTTTTTGTTTGGGGTTGTGGCGTTTTTTCCCCCCCCATCTAACTTACTGAAGGTAAAAACACCCTAAAATCATAGAATCATAGACTGGTTTCGGTTGGAAGGGACCTTGAAGATCAGTGAGTTCCAACCCCTCTGCCATGGGCAGGGACACCTCCCACTAGACCAGGTTGCTCAAACCCCCATCCAGCCTGGCCTTAAACACCTCCAGGGATGGAGCTTCCACAACTTCTCTGGGGAACCTGTTCCAGTGCCTCACCACCCTCAGAGTGAAAAATTTCTTCCTAATATCTAATCTAAACCTGCCCTCTTCCAGTTTGAAGCTATTTCCCCTCGTCCTATCACTACATGCCCTTGTAAAAAGTCCTTCCCCAGCTCTCCTGTAGGCCCCCTTTAGGTACTGGAAGGCTGCTATAAGCTCTCCCTGGAGCCTTCTCTTCTCGAGGCTGAACAGCGCCAACTCTTTCAGACTCTCCTCAGAGGAGAGGTGCTCCAGCCCTCTGGTCATCTTTGTGGCCCTCCTCTGAACCCACTCCAACAGGTCCACGTCTTTCCTATGTTGGGGACTCCAGAGCTGGACGCAGCACGCCAGGTGGGGTCCCACCAGAGTAGAGTAGAAGGGAAGAGTCACCTCCCTTCATAATATTCAGTAACTTGAGTCTCCTGTTATTTGAGATTCCAGGATGTTTCATCTATGAAATTAATTACATGCAATTAGCAAACTGATGCAAGAATAAAATGAAGGAGATTAACACACATCTTCCATCATCACTGAGGATAGGAAGTTAAGCACACATAATGTCAACAGTTATTCCCAGCCACGGTCTTAACATGTGGCTGTATTTTAATCTCTGTAAGAAAGATACCATGAGCAAAGCTAGGAGCGCAGATAAAAATATATGTACATTCTCGTCTGGCTGCAGTATTGGTGTACTAATTTTCTAATTGCTAAAGCTTAAAACTTGTAGTTCAAAAAACTTTCTCCGGGAACGAAATAACTGGTTCTGTCCCTGACCTTGTAACTTAACTACACAGTCAGTGTCTTGATTTAACCTAATATGAAAATGGAAACACAAGGGAAGCCAAAATCATACTAGCTGATAGAAAAAACCAAAACAAAAGGGCATTCAAGAAAACCCACAAAACAACACACACACTGATTCTACTACACTTTCCAAGAAGTCAGATGCTCATGAAGAGATTTTACAGATGAAGAAAGTCACAGATTTCATTCATAGTGCCAAAAAGGAAATCAAATATAAGATAAAACTCATTTTCAGTTTGCCTTTTGAAAAGAAACAAACATCTGACATGTGTACCCTTTAACTACCTACTGTAGCTAGCATTCTTTAAGAAACAGTTCGGGCAGGGTTCCTGGTAAAAGCAAAAGGGAGATTATTGCTCAGTGCTCTGCAAGACTCTTCTGGCAGCAAGGTCACGTAACAGTAAATGGACAACCAACCACTTCCCATAGCAAGACAAGAGCAGTCACTGCGCTGAAGCACATATCCTTTATGGCAATCTCCCTAAGAGTATTTCATATAAGCACCATGACTCTGAATTCGTTAACACTGCTGAGCTGTGGTGGGACCAACCTCTGAAGTCATTCTGCAATGAGAGTGGTACACTACCCGCAATTTTAAAGGGGCCAGACTTCACTTGCATTTTAGTGACTTGGGTAAAATGACATTTGAGACACGGGTAAAGGGAATAGGCAGTTAGTTCCCCACTGGAGTGACTAAAACAGTCAAGAGTGCCTTGCTTTATGCAGTACTTCAGTGCAGATGCGTTGATCCCCCTTTGAACACTCAGGATGAAACAGAATTCAAGACTGTGCAGTAACTACACCCTGATTCTGTTCCATATAGTGTTTCTACCAAGTGCATCTTGCCTTTCACTTCTCCAAGTTCTTCTACTCGGGGGGTGGGGGGCACGGGGGGATGGGGACTGGCTATTGGTTTATTAGGAAAGTCATTACAATGGAAACTACAAGGGTTATGGATTACTGTTTGTCCTGCTCACTACATGCTCTTGTATTTGTTGTCTGAGTAAATAAAAGCAGATCAATCTTACCAAGCATGGTTTCTCAGGGTCACCTGTAGTCATACCATTCTACAAAACCTTTTATCAGACAAAACAGTATTTGTGCAGCTATGCTAAAACTAGCAAACATTTCTAGAACAGGTTAGCACTGTACTTTTTTCAATATTGCCACCAACACTTGTTGAAAGACAAAAAACTCAGTTGTTTCTATAGAAAACCACATTATCTGTCTCTTTCCAAGTCTATAAAAGTATTTTAAAAGATGTATCTAGTTCAGTGTATGTATCTAAAAGGAAATAGTACCTTTAATGTTCTAGTTGGAGCCCAGCCAGTGCCATCAATTGAATGTTCTCTCAATAAACTGGAAAAGAGACACACATATTATACAGTGCAACTTCTCGTTAAACAACCTTTGTCAGAAAACATTAAGCACTTTGCAAGTAATTGCAACACAAGAATTACCTCTTGCACTATATCTAGATACTGGGATTTTAAAGCACAAAAATTGGTATGTCTTCCTAGAATTATATTCTACATAGTGTCATTACAGATCACCTGATCTGATCTCAATCTTTGTCAAAAAATCTGAATTATTTTCATCAAGCAAAATAAGTGTGACAGAAATCCTTGTGAGACAGTATCAACATTGAAGCTCTATTTTCCCCTGAGCTAACAGATGCATGTGCTCCAGTTTAGAACATGTTCATCTTTGGTGAACAGACAGGCTTGCAGTATGACCCATCTCTCACCAAATCTGACACAATTAAATCCAAAAAGGGTATTTTTGGTGGGATCTCTAATTAGCAAGAAAGAAGATCATCATCCTCTCTTCTGTAAAAGGACTTCAGCTTTTTAGAGGCTGGGATAGGAAAGTGAAATAGTTTGGGTTTGGCTGCTCAGGAAAGTTCTACAACAACTGTAACATGAGCAGATGCATCTCAAGCATCCAGTAACACAGTACAGGAAAGTCTAGTGGCAGAGTCTTACAGTAGATGAGCTATATTGCACACAGAATATTTTAAGGCTTTTAAAATAAATTCAACACCATACAAACCCAACTGGAAATCACTATGAGGACTACGCTGGGCAAGAGAGAGTGCTTAAATGAGGAAAACGTTCCTTATAGACTATAATACATGCTCCTGAATTTTATTATAAACATATATGAATATTAACATAAATAACTGAGACACATACCTTCCTATATACACACATAGTGTATAGGAATTCTACAAGAGCTGCATATTATGCTACATGTTAATAGGAACAGTTTTACTGGACTTGATAAGTTGAAAACATTAAGATGT